CTTTCCCTAGATGCTTCCTGAGCACCTGCTAAGGGCCAGGTTGTGTCCTGGGTGTTGGGGAGCCAGCAGACCAGCAAGTAGATGACCTTGGCCTAGTTAACATTGCTGGTGCTGTCACACGCTCACTTACTGTGTCCCTCCTACCCCATGTGGGACGAGCATTCCTATATCGATGACACATTACCATGATTTAGGTGCCAGGCTAAGTGCTTTACATATATTTCCATTTAATCATTGTAACAATCTGATGACCAGGTACTGTTATTATGTCCATTTTAAGGAGGAGGAAGGAGGCGTGGAAAGGATGAGTCACACTAGTCAGGGCCAAGGTGCTTGTTACTTGTTGATTTCATCTCCTTTGGACCTCGAAACTTTTGTATATATGAGGGTGAATACCAGGACCCTTTGGGGTGGGTAGTTCCTAGAGAAGAAGCCCTAGACAAGTCATTCAACTCCCACCCAGCCTCTCCACGGCAGACCCGGGGGTGACACCTCCGTGCAGAAGAGTAGGTGGTTGCCCGCACTGACCTGTCACTCGAGAGACAATGGCTTTACTTAACTGATAGTTATTGTCTCCAACTTTACAACCTCTTAGAAGGAAGAGACTGTCTTCATTTTCCCTACCAGATAAAAGCTAAGATACTTGGGTTTGAAAAATGAGTCTTTTGGGAATTAAAAGCTCAGAATGAAACGGACAAAACCTCCTGGCCCTTCCCTGGCCACCTGGGTCGCCGTCGGGCTTTCATTGAGGGAGGAGCTGCCGGCTGCTTTGCTGCCCCCTGCTTCACTCTGTCTCCTTTGACCTCCCGCAGATCTATGCAGACCCCACTAAGAGGCTGGAGCTGTACTTCCGGCCCAAGGACCCCTACTGCCACCCCGTGTGTGCCAACCGCTTCAGTACCAGCAGCCTGCTGCTCCGGATCAAGAGGAAGATGAGGCGGCAGAGGGGGGCGCCGGGGCCTGAGGCTCACCCCAAGGTCACGTTCGACATAGAGAGCCTTGGCATCGTCTCCACCGTTTACAAATTTCAAGGTAACTGCAAAATGCATTCTTACCGCACTGAGTTATTTCAGGGCCTGCGTCCCTCGTGCCTGCAGGAGCTGCATGGGTCACGCACATGGTGAAGGGGGCCCGGATATGCCCAGGCGTGAGGGGAGTGGCAGAGCACAGGCCCTGTCCAGGAGGCCCTGCTTGTTGCTGCTCGGTTTTCTGCACTCTTAAGAGAAGCTGGAATTCTCTGAGAAATCTCATTGTTAAAGCTGCTTTATGGGGCCAAGTAAAACTGGTCCACAGGCCTCCAGTTTTCAGCCCCACCCCCGCCCTCGTGTTTGGGGATCTTCTTGGTCTAGACGGCTGCTGGCCTTGCTGACCCTCTGAAGCCTTCCCAGAGCACCTCAGCCCCTTGGGACCTTATGTCCTTTGAACTCTCAGCCAACTGGATGTCTCCTGTAGGGTCCTCAGTCGAGTTTGCTCCCCACAGGGAACCCCTGGGAGGAGGTGCTAAGGCGTGGGGTGGAGAGGGGGAGTTGTGCCTGCCTCAGCCTCCCTCGGTCTCCTTGTCTGTGCAGTGGGAGCCCGGAGTTCCTCAGACCCTCGTGGAAATTCAGAGGGACGATGCCCGTGTGCCAGTTCGCACACACGTACGGTACTTGGCGAATTACTAACAAGCCTCAAGAGTATGTGTAGCTGCAGCTGCGGGTCTAAGATAGAAACTGAAGAGAATAAAGACCAAAAAGGAAGAGGGGGATAGAAAGTGTAAAGAAACTAAAACAAGGCCTGGGATCCCACAAGTGGGGCATTTGGAACGTCCATCATTCTGGTGGAAAGTGGTCTTCACCAAAGAGGGCCGTCCTTCCCGGGACAAGGCTTCCCAAGTCATCCGTTTCTTTCTCTCTCTAATTGAGCCGGTACGTCACCACTCAGTGTGTGTCCCAGACCAGCAACATGGGCCTCACCTGGGAGCTTGTTAGAAATGCAACACCTCAGCATCTGCATTTAGCAAGATCCCGGGTGAGTCACGTGCACGGTACAGTCTAAGAAGCACTGACCTAGACTTTATCCTCACATATCAGGTAACTCCCCGACCCCCCAAAGTAGTATTTATACAGGCGACTGGGCTGAGTTCCCAGAAGCGACTCGGACGTATTGTTTTGGGTCCTGCTACCATTGCCCGGCAGCCTCCCCTGCGAGGCCTGCTCAGCGCACCCGAGAAGACGCGGGTGCTGGTGCGTGGCAGCTGCCAGTGCCTGGGCGGGTGTACTAGTGTGTCCACCGTCTGTCTTCCTCTCTTCCCAGGAATGTCCGACTTCCAGTACCTGGCCGTGCACACGGAGGCGGGTGGCAGGCACATGTCCATGTACAGCAAGGTGCTCATGGTCAAGCCCGAGAAGGAGAATTTCTTCCACCAGGAGCTGCCGCTCTACATCCCCCCGCCCATCTTCTCCAGGCTGGACACCCCGGTGGACTACTCCTACCGCCCAGAGACACAGCACCGGTAAGGACCTCCCTGTGGCCGCCGCCCCGCAGCATCGGGGCTCAGGGCAAGGGCCCTGCGCTCAGAGGGCTGGACTCTTCCACTCACGGGTCAGACGGCCAGGGCGGCTGGCTTTACTCAGGCCCGTGGCCCCAGCAACAGAGCAGCTGGTGACCAGGGGCCCTGACCAGGGGTGTCAGGAACCAGCCCTGGTCCCCGCGCCCCACCCGGAGGCCTTGCTCAGGGCTGTCCTCACACCACAGAGTGTGAATCAGGATGTTGCCTTTGGACTTAGACCCCTCCCCAAAAGCGTGTACCTTGAGGTGTGGAGAGACAGACACCCCCTGCCGCAGGAGCCCTGGGAACAAGGTCGATATTTTTCGGAGAGCAACCTGGCAGAATCTATTACAGTTTTAAATGTTCTTTCCTGACGGCCAGGCGGCCTGTAGGAATTTATCCCACGGTGACTGTCGCCTCTGTGCTCAAAGATACACTGGCAAGAACGTTTTCTGGTTGGTTGTGGGCAGCAGCAAGAAGCTGAGAGGGCCTGGTGTGGTGAGAGAGCCCGGGTGGGCGGGGGCCCGTGTTCAGGTCCTGGACCTGTGATCCCACATCACAGGCTGGGCAGGTGAGCCCCGACCTCCCACGCCAGCATCCCCGCCTGTAACAGGGGTGATAATGACAGTAACAGTCCTCACTTCTCGCGAGCGTTGTTAGAGGGCTGAGTGATTGAAGCTTGTGGAAGCACTCAGAGCACTGAGTGCCGGGCCGAGTTCGATAAAGTGGGTGAGTGAGTGATCCGTCCACTAATAGGGACGATGTAGTCAATTAAACGACGGCCTGTCTGTACCAAGGAAGACCGTACAGCCTTTAAGAAAGCGGGCTCCATGGGCCAACGTGGCTCGTGTCCAGAAACCTTGCTCTAGGAAAAGCAGCTGCTAGAGCAGACTCTGTGCTATAAAAGTAAACTGGGTGATAATAGAAGCCTGGAAAGATGGGGAAGTTTGGGCCCAGAACAGTTATCTGCAGGGGGGCGGGAGGGCGAGAAGCTTGTCTTCCCTCATCAAGTATTTCTATCAACGAGTACTGACCACCTGTCGGGGCCCCGAGCTCCCCTTGGAGCCACTGTCAGTGGGGACGCGACAGGCGGCTCCGTGCAGGGCCGGGGGCTGGGGAGCCAGTGGAGCCCCAGTGAAGGATGAGTGGGCGGTGGGAGCCTGCAGGCAGGTGTGTGTCTTAAAGGAGATAAGTGGGGAGTGGGCTGTCATGCACAGTGAGTGGGGTGCGGGAGCGTCCTCGGGGGAGCTGACCTTTGAAAGAGACCTGTGTGATGACAGAGCCGGGCAGGTGAAGATCCGGGGAGAACGTTCCAGACCAGGGGGCTGGCACATGCAAAGGAACAGTCGGGGGTGTTGCCTCCGAAGCGCAGAGAGCCGAGAGAGGGGTGGGGTGAGGGTCGCACGGACCGCAGAAAGGAGCTTAGATTTTATGCTAAGGAGAAAGGTGTATTGTCCCCTTCCTTTAAAAAATATATTCTGGGGAGTTCCGAAAGGAGAGAGGAGTGTGTGATGGATGCCCACCTACGTCACCAGCCTCAACTTTCTGCTGCTGGTTTCACCTCCCCACCACCTCCACCCCCAGCATCACAGTGCGTCCTCCAGAAACAAGTGTGTGTCTCTAACTGAGAAGGACTTGGTTTATTTTAACTTAGCCATAGTGCTGTCATCAGAACGAGCAAACGTTAACAGTGTCCTTCACGTCATCCAGGGCCCAGTCCTCGCTCTGTTTCCCCGTTGCCTCAAAAGTAAGTCGAGAGCCAGACAAGGGTCGATGTCTCTCAGGCCAGTTGAGTCCATAACACCACCCCCACACCCTTTTTCTGATTGCAGGAGTAAATTGTGCTTGTTAGAAAATACCAGACATTGTAGAAATGTATAACTGCAAGGTATCAGGTCCATTCCCTCCCTGCTGAAAACCCTAGTGTGTGCAGTTTTCTGTGTATATGTTATACTCATTATGAGAGTTTCAAATTTTTTTAATGTACATGTTTCTGAAATTTGAAACTTATTTTTCTCCCACAAGCATTTTACTCTTACAGAGTCAGAAACAAAAATATGTAGAATAAGGAACTAGAGGCACCCGTCCCCCGCCCCGCGTTGCCGGCCGTGATGCTGGACGGCGGCGTCAGAGTCACTGCTCTGTCCTGCAGGGCCAGCAAACAGCTGTCTCCCAGCCTCTGGGAGGGGGACAGGGGTGGAGGGCTGGCTGCCCTTGAACCCACAGGCCCTGTTTTTCTCCCATGTCGTTTATCGATTTTCCAGTGCGTGGAAGGAACCTGCTTTTTCTCCCAGGGCTGCCATCGATTTTTCTGCTCTGATGGCCCTCATGGGTACCAAGGACTGGCAGAGGAGGCCTGGCGCCCGCCTTGCTGGCCTTCCTGGGTCCAGGGAGGCTGAGCTTCCTATAAGGCCAGTGGGCAGAGGACAGGCTGGGACGCTGGCCTGACGGGGGTCCCCCCTCCTCGAGGCAATTGAGGGGGGAGGGCAGGCGGCCCGCTCCCTGCTGCTGCTGCCTGACCCAGAGGGAGTGCCCGGGGCTTTCCTTCGGGGGTGTCTGGGGCCTCGGGGAGTTGTCTTGGAAAACAGGATAGTGTTCAGGATGGTTTCAAATGGAGTCATGTTTTTTAAAAAAGGCACAGATTTGATCCCGTCTTTGTAATTTTGTTTCCCAATGTGAAAAATCACTTTGTTGTTCTTTATAAATATGCAGATGGTATGTACTCATGTAGAAAATTATGGTAAAATGGAAACAAATTTAAAAGGTATTAATCAGCTGTGTGACATCCAGGACATACTCTGAAATGCACCGCAAAATAATTGAGTGGGTTTGGGGTGGGGCCTGGATGGCGTGAAATTGGCCCTGTGACGGCAGTTGTGGAAGTGGATGGTGGGCTTATGGGGGCTCCTTGTACTGTTCCCCCTGCTTTAGCGAAGCTGTGATGTTCCTGACATCCCACCTCAGAGGGAAGCGCTCTGAGCCTCCTAGGAATCGTTGGCCCTGTGTGTTCTGTGCTAACAGCTGGTGGCAGAGCCCCGTCCCCCCGCTTTTTTTTTTGGCCGCACTGTGCGGCTTGCGGGATGGATCTTAGGTCCCTGACCAGGGTTCGAACCCAGGCCCCTTGCAGTGGAAGCTCGCAGTCCTAACCACTGGACCTCCAGGGAGGTCCCCAGAGCCCTTCTTTTAGCCTCTGTGACGAGAGCGTCTGGTAGTATCCGTCCTCCCTTCACCGCGGTATCGTCGAGATGCTTCCGAGCAGGACGGAGGTTAGCGGCCCTGCCAGCCTCCCTGGGCTCAAGTCCCAGCTCCGTCACCTCGAGCTCTGGCTCGAGGCAGGTTTCCAACCCCTGTGGCCTCAGTGACTTCATGGGAAATGGGTCCTTCCTCGTAGGATTGTTTCAAGGGTTAGATAAGTGAATTGTGGGAGTCAGTAAGCACAGCTGCGGTCTGACAGCTGATTAGTGGTTCCCGTGTGGCCGCCCATGCCTCAGCTGATTCCACTGTCCCTGCCCTGATGGGCATCTGGGCTGTTTCCAGCTTTTCACTGGCTGGACGGTGCCGTGCACGACGCGATGCCGTCGTGAGGCCACCAGCCTCACGGCAGGGGCCCTTCCCCACACCCCAGCCTCTGGGACTCTTGGCCTGGCCCTGCCTCGGAGCCTCTCCGAGCTGACTCGGACTCGCTGCCCCTCCTACTCCTGGTCATCAGCCTGAGAACACAGGCGCCTGCCTTCAGTGGCTGGGGCTGAGATCCGCTTCTCACCCAGATTCCAGGGAAGCGCACCCACACGTGGGCTGCCCGTGTCCAGCCAGGCCCACGCCTGGCGCTCCCGCCCTCAGCAGCTCTCTGCCCCTAGGGAAGGCTACAACAACCCCTCCATCTCCGGGGAGAACCTGATCGGCCTGAGCAGGGCCCGGCGCCCTCACAATGCCATCTTTGTCAACTTCGAGGGGGATGAGGTGCCCGAGCAGCCGCTAGAGGCTGCGGCCCAGACCTGGAGGAAGGTGTGCACCAACCCCGTGGACCACAAGGTGGAGGAGGAGCTGAGGAAGGTGAGCCCTGCCCCCCCGGCCACACCTTCACTGGCTGCACCTTGTCTTAGGCTCATTTATTAACACATGGGAACTTTTCACCTCCAGATGTTACATCTAAAGCTGTGCCAGTGTAAGCCCTGCCCTCCCAGAGTTCAAAGTGCTCCTTAAAACTCATAAGAGGTCCCTTTGGGATGGTAAACATTGTCCACATGTGACCTCGGCGTGGCGCTCCGGGATTCCGGAAGCTTTTGTTCATCCAGCCCTTGGCTGCAACACACCAGATGGGGCACCTGGTGCGCACCAGGCCGTTAGAGCCGGGGTGGACGGGGGCCCTGGGCAGAGGCGGCCTTCTTTCTTGCTCGCTGGCTTGCAGGTTCTGGGAGGCCCAGGCCAGGGGACTCTGGTCCTTGCGTCGCCACAGGTGTGGACAGTAGGTTCTCAGCACATCACTGCTGACCGACCCTTGCCTCTGCCCCTGTTGAACTTGACTGTCCCCTTGGTGCAGGACGGGGGTGGGGTGGGATGTTATTTCCTGAGTGGTGGACACCTTGTTATGTTTCTGGCAGTCGCTAGGTCGGGGGGAAGTGGGGGCCACTCTCCAAGGCCCCTCATTGTCATCTGGACACAGCCCAATCTCCCACCTGGCTCGGGCCGCTCCCACCCTGGCCCTCCCACTCCAGCCCCACTGGCCCTTCACAGCCCTCCCACTGGGAGGGGGCTGGGCCGTCCCCTGCGGCCTTCGTCACATTCCAGCTCAGGCCCCTGCCCTCTGGGGCTGCTCAGGGGCCCAGAGCTCCGGCCCATACCCCTCCTGACCCTGCTCTGGCTCCTTTGGTCCTCTGCCTCCCCACTGCCCTTTGTGCTGCCTAAGGACAGGGACAGCGTCTCTCATGGTCATTTCAGGACCCCCAGGCCCTGCAACCTCACTTGACACGTGCTGGGCGGGCAGGGCGCTTCCGAGGGCGGGACCAGTGGGCGTGCGCAGAGGCCCCTCCCCACCTGCCTGGCCCCTGCTACCCCCACCCCAACTCCTCTTAGGAAGGTCCTCTGGGGCCAGACCGTGTGGGGAGCCTGGGGCAGGCAGGGAAGCTGCAGGTGCTCTTCTCAACCTCTGCCTTGACCCTCCAGCTGTTTGAAATCCGCCCCATCTGGTCACGTAACGCTGTCAAGGCCAACATCAGCGTCCACCCCGACAAACTCAAGGTCTTGCTGCCCTTCATGGCCTATTACATGGTGAGTGCCCGCCCACCACCCACCGCGCTTCCCACCTGGGTCGTGCTGATCCCTGACGTGCCTCAGAGCCCCAGCAAGGGCAGGCGGCCCTGTCCCAGCACCCGGAGGTTGGCTTCTTAAAGGGATTATACTTTTTTTTCTTTTTTTTTTTTTTTTGTGCCATACGCGGGCCTCTCACTGCTGTGGCCTCTCCCGTTGCGGAGCACAGGCTCCGGACGCGCAGGCTCGGCGGCCATGGCTCACGGGCCCAGCCACTCCGCGGCATGTGGGATCTTCCCGGACCGGGGCACGAACCCGTGTTCCCTGCATTGGCAGGCGGACTCTCAACCACTGCGCCACCAGGGAAGCCCGGGATTATACATTTTTTAATGGCCTTGTATGGAGAGCTTTCTAAGGACCAGGCCCTGGGTCAAGTGCTATGTGCATAGCATCCTTTCTTCTTCTGTGGGGGTGGCAGCAGGGTTTGGACCTCTGATGAAGAGGCTAGGCTCAGATTGGCGACTTGATGGGCCAAGATCCTACAGCCAGGGAGTGGCAGAGTCCCCTGGGGACCCTGGCCTGTTTGGCTGCAGCGCCTGGGCCCCTAACCACAGTGCCACCTGCCTTCACGCATTCTCCCTGGGTTGAGGGGCGTTCAGTGGGGGTCACATGCACCTTGGACTCAGTCCAGGAGGGATGGAGATGGGGCTGTCATCACTGAGATTCCCCAAGGTGCTGTGAGGAAGAGCTCCTGCCGGCCAAGGGTCCCACCTGGGGCCTTGGGGAGGCAGGCGGACAACGTGACCGTGACCGTGATGGCCAGGAGGTGGGGGGCATGAGACGGGCTCATTCCTCCTGGGCTTAGACCCGACGTCACAAAGCTGCTGCCTGCCTTTCAGCATTGGCTTTCTGGACACAAGGACCTCGGGAGCACTGTTTGGGGACAGTGCCTCCCATCCATTAGCACAGTTGTGACAGTTGTGACAGTTCTTGAGCTCTTTCTCTGTGCCAGGCACTGCAGTGAGGGCTTCAGGGGCACCGTCTCATTTAATCCTCACAAAAACACCATCTGACCGGAAGACCAAGGCTTGGGAAGGCCAAGTGACCTACCTGAGGTGACCGAGCCACACGTGCGAGCTGTGGGGCAGGGTTCCAGGGCCTGTCCCCAACTCGTGGGGGTGTGGTGCTGCCCCATCTGGGCAGCCACCTGGGCCTGCAACTCAGGGGGGCCGGGGATCGGCCCTGACCGCACTTCGCACTCCGCCCTTTCTGTCTCCAGATAACAGGCCCCTGGAGAAGCCTGTGGATTCGATTCGGGTACGACCCTCGAAAACACCCAGATGCCAAGATTTATCAAGTCCTTGACTTCCGAATCCGTTGTGGGATGAAATACGGTAAACAGTTCCCAGAACCTTTGCTTTCCTTTTCCCTTTATCGCTTTCTGTCTCCAGCATTCTCTTCTGTAATAAGAATACATCCACGTGGAGAGGATGTATTCCCCCCTTGGTGGGACTGTTAGGGACAGAATAGCGCAGACACGAGGACCCGAGCTCTCGTCCTGGCTCCTGTGGTGACGCTCTAGTGGCTACTTACAGCTCCTGTGGTGCAGGCCAGGCGTCCCGTCAGTCTCCTGTCCCCGGCCCGCGGTGACCCCCCCC